GAGGTTTTTCCTTGCTCGCCAGTCTGTAACCTCGCTGGCTCTCCGCCAGATTGCCAACTTTTGCCAGATTGGGGCCGCCAGATTGGCGCCAGATTGGCTTCGACTTCGCGTCCCAAGATTTCAGTGTCTCGCCCTTCTCCTGGGTAGCCGAAGGCCAGACTAACAGATTGCCTTGGGATCCAGGGCCACTCTGGCGTGGCCAGGTTGGAGATTTCTATTTGCTCGCCAGTCTGTTACCTCGCTGGCTATCCCGCCAGATTGCCAACGTTTGCCCGATAGGGGCCGCCAGATTGGCTTCGACTTCGCGCCCCCAATTTCTTCTCACAGCGGTTCCTGGGTCTGTGACTCGACAGAACCTAAGCGCGCGCGAAGCGCGCGCGTGGTTCTAGTGTGTATAGATATACACATATATATACATGTCGACAGACAGGGACAGACAGACAGACAGAAAGACAGACAGACAGACAGAAAGACAGACAGACAGGCAAGCAGGCAGGCAGACACACAGACATACATGCATGAATGCGTGCATACATTCATACATACATGCACGCATTCATGTGTGTATACATGTAAACATACATATACAAATAACCATACACACTTATAGATGCACCTACATGTGTATAGATAGGCCCTCAGGGCATGGTTTGAATAGTTTGATCGATTAACACTATGAGGAGATGGCCACAGTGGTCCGTACTCCGTTTTTTTCTCGTCGAGTTGATTGAACACTGCCCCTCAGAGAGATTGATTGATTGATTGCTGTATATATTCACGTTTATATACATATATCTGTATATATACATACATAAAGGTATGTCGTTTTACATATTCACATACGCGTGTGTACATCCATGCGCGTGTGTGTACCGTGTGCGCCTGCTGTACGTTCGTGTGTTGATGTCCCTCTTCCCTTATCATTGCTCTTATTTCTGGAGTTGGGCTTCTTCTTCCTCATCGCCCTCGGCCTGTCTTATCTACACACATGGAGACACGCATGCCTACATACAGACCCACTAACGTACGCATGCGCCTGCATATATCTATACAAATAGTGCAGTCATACTAAAAGTGTGGTTGTGGTGACGTTCCTCGTCCCCCCTCAGTGCTCTTCTTCCTGGAGTTGGTCCTTACCATCATCGCCCTTTGCCTGTCATAGCTAAAGACATATGTGTGAATGCGTACACACATACAGACATTTTTTATATCTATATATACACACACTATACGCATACAGTAAGTTTGTGTTGATGTCCCTCCTCCCTTCTCCTTGCTCTTCTTCCTGGCGCTGGCCCTCCTCATCCTCGTCGTCCTCTGACTGGCTTGCTAGTCCGCTTTCCCCTCCATCATACCCTTTGCATTCTCTCCTGATCCTCGTCGGCCCATTCCGTTGTTCCATTCCCCATCCTCATTTTTTTCCACCGTTCTCCTCCCACAACACCAGTCCTCTCCTGCTGCTCGGCCTTTTTCCTCCCCCAGTCTCCGTCTCATAATCTTCCGTCTCCTCCTCTTCCTCTTCTTCCTCCACTTCTTCCTCCCTCTCCTCCTCCCCCCCCCTCTTCCTCCCCTTTCTCATCCGTCGCCTCTTTCTGTTCCTTGCTTGGACTGTATCAGAGTTGGGCAAAGTCCGAAGCATTCGTACATCTCAGATTTCGATCCCAGCCGAGCGGGCTCACGTGAATTGCATTGGCGCTTGGCGGCGTCGACTGACCACGTTTGGATGCTCAGCTGTGAAATTTCGAGTGGCGTCGGGTGGCGTCGAGTTGCCAAAACTAGCAGTAGCAGTCGCAGCGCCATTGCCAGGTGCGGAACGCCTTGGAGGCCATTCCCACGCTTACGCTTGCGAAGTACGCATGCGCCATTCTAATGACGTCAGTTGGCGCGGCTTGGAGCGATCGCACGGAGGCACGTCTAGGTGCATATGGATTGGAGCGCACATCTTTCAGTACGTATACGCGCATGCATGCGGAATGCATGGTTGTTCGTGTACGTGCGCATATGTTTTCTGCGCGCATATACGTTGTTTGCGCCGCTGGCTTGCGCGTACGTGTGAGTGTCAGCACGAGCTACCGCTGATGTACGCACACGCGTTGAAAATTGCCAGGCACATACATGTTTCGGCGTATGTGTATATGTGTGTGCGTGCACATGTGCCCCAGGACACGGCGCATAAGAGGGATATGGATTCAGACGGCCCGATCATGTTCAATCCTACCAGTCAATGTTTGGTTGCTTAAGCGCACTTGCGTACGTATGAACACGTATACGCGTTCACCTAGGCCCATCCTGCCACCGCGTTTAGATCGTAGGTCATATGCCTCCTGGATGCCTGTTGGTATCGCTTGAGGTACTTCTCGGAGGCCTCTTGGAGACAATTTGGAGGAGTCGCAGGATCTTGTCAGGGGCCTCGCGGGGTGTCTCGGGGTTCCCTTGGTGTATCGTTTGGGTCTCTTGGGGACCTTTTGGGGCTTCGTTGGGGATTCTTGAAGACCTCTGGGAGCCTCCTGGCGGTCTCGGGGGTCATCCTGGGGCGGAGTGCTCGAAATGTAACTTCGTGTTCCCCCCCTTGGGGCCCTCTTGGGCAGCCGTGGGGGCCTCTAGGGCATGCGCGGGTTCCTGTTTGGGCCGTCGTGGGGGGCTTCTTTGGGGGCGATAGTTGGCGCCTCTTGGGTCGCGCTGGGGCTCTGAAATCCCGAAAAAACGAGAATGAACCAATCAACAATCGGAAGAGCATGTGTGAATGTCGCGTCTGGAGGGCCTCTTGGAGCCCTCTTGGGACATATTGGGGGCATCCTGATTCATCCTGAGTCCACATTGGGCCGTCATGGAGTGGTCTTGTGCTTTCTTGGGTTCCTCTTGGACCGTCTTGGTGGCCTCCTGGGACCCCCTTGGCCCTGGGGCTACATGGCCCCTGTACAAATCATGCTGGGAACCCCAAGGAGAGTCCAACAGCGCCTGGAATTCGGGGCTGTGGGCCCCTCAGGAACATTTACGTTATTTAATATTTGTTTGGGGAAAAACACACACAACCAAAAAAGCATCCAAGAGATCTGCGGACACTTCGCGTCGTGCCTCGAGGCACGACGGTGGATATGATCACATGTACATGTGGTCTGGTGCATGCCCGGTCATGTGCGTGTGCGCGTGCAGATGCGTGTGAACGTGGATTTGCGGGTGCGCCTTCGCACGTGCCCGCACACACTATGAACAGCTACGCCTCCTCGCGGGCACGTACGTATGCACACATGTGCAAACACAAGCTTGTTGCAGTCTGCGGGCGCCGTGTGGCCCAAGACAGTCAGCTGGTCAGCAGGCGGTGGGGTGCGCCGAGAGCGACATGCGGCACGAAGGCGACAGGGAACAGAACGCGAGAGGGGAGGAGAGAGGAGCCCGCCCACACCATGAAAGCCGGCGCGGGGATGCCGTAGCAGAAGTTGCATGCGAGTTGCGAATGAGCAGCGGAGGCCGAGGCCAGTTTGGTGTGGACGGCCGTGAAGAGGTACAGGGGAGCGAGATGAGCCACGTGTGGGATCAGAGCGGCAGGCAGGAAAAGACTGGGAGAAGTGGCGCACACGTCAAAGTCGCGGCTCAGCGAAACGGAGCTGGAGACGATGCAGAGGAAGGCCTTGAAATGGTGAACAGCATGCAGTGGCCGTACTTGAACGGGCATAGGAAGCTCCGAAATTGAGTTGAGGACCCAGGGGCTCAGAGCGGAGCCAAGGCAAAATTGGCCAGACAGACATACCGGATGAAATACCGAATGTTGACAGTCGGGAAGACGCACGGGGCGCCGAAGGGCGGACGCATGCAAATACAAGCACACTCTAACATTTGGGCGACACGATAGATTTCGAATCATGTTTCGTTGATTGTCCGTCCACGCGTTTCTCTGGCATATTGTGATAAATCACCATGGACAGAGTTTGACTACTGTAGACGACATGCGGTACGATTGAGAACCTGTTGTTGATTCAATATCTGAATAGTTGAAATTGGCGCGTTTGAGGCTCACCCGTGCGACCGAAGCTGCACCGCAGGTTTCGGTATGCCTGCTTTGTTGCACACAAGTGCGCACTTGTATGACTACATGTTCATCTAGATGCACACGTAAATGCAGGTACACATACATCGACATATATGTTTCATGTTCCCCATACGTGGATACATATATGTGTGCTGTTCGCGAGTCCATCTGTCAGTTGCGCCGATGGATACGGAAGAACACCGAGTCAGGAATATCGACGCATCTGGGCATCCGCAGGCCTCCCAAGGCTTACAGCAAACTCAGAAGCCGCACTGAATGTACATGTGTCCGCTTGTACACTTGGAAGGCCCGCTTGTATGCGTATGTCCAGATGCCCATATGAGTCTGATTGTCGGCGTGCCCTTTTGTAGGATTCAGGCACTTGCTGTGTCGTGCAAGCGTGACGCGCGTTGGACAACCGTGGTTGCTGGCGGACATGATTCCACACGTGATGACGATTTCGAATATCCAGAAAAGGGACGGCGAGCAGGTGCAGATGCTCATGCGTGCGTACTTCCCCCCTTTGCCGTCGCCGCTCCCCTCTCTCTATGGCCCGCCAGCTCGCCCTCGCCGTGGCGGCCTCACGCTTGCACGTGCCACGGGTCCGTGCCGATCAGGGATGCAGAAGGATTCCGAGGGGGGGGTGCTGAGACGTCCGTCCACGGGCCGCCGTCCGCACCTGACCTCTGAGCGGCAGTCTGGTGCGCCAGCCCGCCCTCGCCTTGGCGGCGTCGGCTCGAGGGCAGGCAGGCGGCCTTCCTGAGCCCCAGGGGAGGAGGAGGAGGAGGAGGAGGAGGAGGAGGAGGAGGAGGAGGAGGGGGAGGGGGAGGAGGAGGGGGAGGAGGAGGAGGAGGAGGAGTAGGAGGAGGAGGAGGAGGAGGAGGAGGAGGAGGAGGAGGAGGAGGAGGGGAAGCAGGGCAGCTGCGGCTCGCGCTGGCCGGACCCGTGCCGGCCTCGCCGCGTGCCCCCCCAGGCGGCCTTGGGCCGGAAGTACTGCGCGCGGTTCCTCCCCGGCGTGCTGGTCGGTCTGTTTTTTTGGGCGCGCCCGTCTCGCGCCTCGCGCTTGGAGCACCCCTGAGATCTGGGCGTTGCAAGTTTTCCGCGCTGGGCGTGTTCGCCGGGTGTCGATGGCCCCCGGGCCATCGCGGATCGAGCCGGCTCGCAAAATGCAGCGGAGAGCTGCGGTCTAGAGCTCTGGTCGCGATGTTCCGCGATCTTGTGATTTGTTGTCGCAACGCAGGATCTCAGAGTCGTGGGCGGGAGCGAAGGTGACGCTCCTCCCAGGGGCATCCTGTGACTTCTTGGGGCCTCGCGGGGCCCCGTGCGCCCTTCTTGCTTCGTCGTTGTCGTCGTCGTCAGCTACGTCGACGTCGTCGTCGTCGTCGTTGTTCTCGTCGTCATCAGTTTCGTCGACGTCGGTGTCGTCGACGTCGGTGCCGGTGCCGGTCGCCGTTGTCGTCGCTGCTTAACGTCTCGACGCTGTCTCGCATGAGAAGGGAGGAGCTGGTGGAGAAGAGGAGGAGGAGGAGGAGGGAGGAAGGAGGAGGAGGAGGAAGAGGATGGAGTAGGATGAGGGAGGAGGGAGGAGGAGGAGGAGGAGGAGGAGGAGGGAGAAGGGAGGAGGAAGGAGGGAGGATGAAGGAGGGAGGAGGAGGAGGAGGAGGAGGAGGAGGAGGAGGAGGAGAAGAAGAGAGGAGGAGGAGGAGGAGGAGGACCAGGGCAAACCCAAGACGCATCAAGGATGTTGCAATAAAATCTCCTCTCAAGTTCCCACTTCATAGATCCCTACAAGTTTTTCTCACTGCGGGAAGGACCCCATTGGAAGGCAACCGTCTGAGAACCTTCGATAGTGCCAGATCACCACTCCCAGGATTCAATACCGCGAATCAACGTGAGGGTTGTCCAGACAATCGTGCCAGAACACCGTTCTTGGGACTTAAACCACGAGAGGACCTTTGACTGTTGAGAAACTACATGACTAATGCGAGCGGCGCTAATGCAAGAGCCACATGTTGGACTCCATCCGCCGCTTTCCACCCTTGAAACCTAAAGTTTTAAGACGAAAGTGTGGCGGCGTTATGGCGAGGGCCACACTTTGAAAAGGAGCCGTCCTTCAGTTGCGAAGCCCTTGCTAAATTGTAATACATGTGCGCGGCGCGAAGGCAAGAGTCACATGTTGAAAAGGAATCGCCCTCCATCAGTGAAACTCTTGACGAGAGCCGCATGTTGGAAACCAACCGTCCTCCACCCGTGAGACGCATGCAAGAAGTTAAAGCGAGTGAACGCGGCGTTGTGGCGAGAGCCACACATTGCTAACCACCCGTCCTCCATCTGTGAAGCCCTCGCCATTTGTTCACACGAATGCGCGCGGCGCTAAGGCCAGTTCCCCATTTTGAAAACGACCCGCCCGCCATCGGTGAAACTCGCTGCAAACGTGTAAGACGAATGCGCGCGGCGCTGTGGCGAGAGCCACATGTTGAAAAGAATCCGCCCTCCATCCTTAAAACTGTTCCAAACTATAAGCGTCAGGAACACAAAAAGGGGAGGAAGTCTCAGACGAAACGCGCGGCCCGCCCCACTGACACGCCTTGGGGTGCGACAGGGAGGAGTTAGGTAGAGGAAACGGAGTGAAGGGAGGAGGAGGGAGGAGGATGCGGGAGAGGAGGAGGAGGAGGAGGAGGAGGAGGAGGAGGAGGAGGAGGACGAGGAGGAGGAGGAGGAGGAGGAGGAGGGAGGAGTCGGTGGAGGTCGTGGTGGCATGGAGGATGAAGACAGGAGCGAAGGCGGTGGAAGGTGGAGGGGAAGGGTAAGAGGAGGACGAGGGGAAGGAGCAGGAATAAGGATTCGACAAGGAATTGTGCGAGGCTGCCGTGTTGCGTGGGCAGGAGGCGAGCTCCTGAAGAAGAGATTGTTCGCACGGGAGGGTGCAATCGGATCTGCCTGAGCTCTCGGCATGGCGATGTGAAGGGAGGTGGGCGTGAGGGCGCGAGAGAGGGGGGGGGGAAGGAAGGGCAATCAAATCGCTGCGGTACCTAGGCGGGCCTTGTCTCAGCTCTCAGCTCTGTGGCCGAGCGGGGGCGCCACGATTCTTGAGGGAGCTCGTCGACAGCACCGTTCCCGGAGTAGTCGAACAATGCGCCCTCCCCTGCCCGAGAGGAACGGCTGACCACGAGGAAGAGGAGGAGGAGGAGGAGGAGGAGGAGGAAGGAGAGGGAACGGGGAGGAGACCAGGGAAGGGATGAAGAGCGAGGAGTTCGACGAGGAGGAGGAGGAGGAGGAGGAGGAGGAGGAGGAGGAGGAGGGGAGGGAGGGAGGACGTGCGAAGGAAGAGGGGGACGGGGCGGAAGAGGGGGAAGAGGTGAGGAGCACGATCGAACGAGTGAGCGACAACTGCAGACAATTATCATTACATTCGTGATCAAGGGCCGCTGTAGGCTGCAGTATCTAACCACCAACGCCATGGGCCCGATCTCTGTTGCAAAATCGTCGGTGCCTTCCAGTAGTTTCAAAAGAGGATACCATTGGCCAAGTGCGACTGCACTTTGGGAGAGGTCCTAGACGTTGCCCGCTTTTGCGCCACACCCTTTGGGCAGGCTGAGAGGAGCAAAGGCAAGCAGGAGCCAGCGCCTCTCCAAGGGAGTACACTTACGCGAGCTGCAGTCCATCAGTGTCACTTCCTCGTGCAAGTCTTTTACAAGTTGCGCATGCTGCGTGATTCACGTCCAGGTCTTCCAGTCGGGACTTTGAGCGACACAATGCTTGCAAAGAACAAGGCCGGCTTGGAACGACCAGAATGATTGACGTTCCGCGTATCCCCTTATCAGCCCATCTAGCAACGATGGCCAGGCGAGTTCGCAGTGGAACAAACAAAGAGGGGGGGGCAGCCGTCAAACCGAAAATCGTGAAGAGCTTGAGCAGGCCCGGGAATCGATATGGGAGCTTCTCAGCAGTTGACTCGGGCCATCTTCGTTGGGCCCCTCTTGGAGTTATTTAGGATGCCTTTGGGATTTTCGTCTTTCGTGGGGCCAGTCCTTGGAAAGCTCCGTGGCCAGTTGGAGCCGTCTTGGGACGATGTGGGCGCCTTCTGGAAACATCTTGCAGGCGACCGTGAGCCACTTCGGAATATACTATTGGGGGTCGAGGGTTTACGGGCCCGCCTCCCAGATGGGATGGGTCCCAGGGCCCAACTGGCCCCCCCCCTGTCCCTCCAACGGAACGGCAGGGAAAACGACCACGAAAGATGACGACGACGAAAGATGACGATCCCGACGACGACGACGACGACGACGACGACGACGACGACGACGACGACGACGACGGCGGCGGCGGCGGCGGCGGCGGCGACGGCGACAGCGACGACCACGACGATGGCGACGACGACGATTACGACGACGGCACAGCACCACCCCACGCTCACGGGGGGAGGGGCGGGGGGCACCGAAACCCCACACCACACAACGCCCACAAAAGGGGGGGGGATCCATCGCGCCAGGGGGGGGGGGCCTGAGGGCATCAGCACGAAGGGGATGAGCGGGTCCCGGAGCTCTGGATCACATATATATATATACACAGATATAGATATACATATATATATATATATATATCAAACAGAAACAACAAAGAGAGAGAGAGAGAGGAAGAAAAAACAAAATCTTAGAGGTCGTCTTGAGCCTTCTGGGGCCTGCTTGGAGGCAGAGTGGGCCATTTGGGATACTTTAGCCCGTCGCGCCATCCCCCCCGCCGAGGCCTAGGGAGAAGGGGTAGGGAGTGAGGTCAAGTCACTTCTCTCAGACGCAACCTGCTCGGCTCACTCCCACCCGCCCTCCCAGCATACACGCTGTGCCCGAGTCTCGGCATGTCCAGCTATCGTCTTTGGATGGGCAAATCAATACAGGCCCCAGGTGCGCGACGCTGGGGCAAGGTGCGCCACGCGTGCCAGGCGCGCCACGCAACAGGCGCGGCAGGCGCCCCTGGGGCCCAAGAGTGCCAGGTACGTCTTGTGCGCCCGATGCGCCAACTGCTCCACGTGCGCCATGTGTGCCGCATTCTCCAGCCGCCCAGATGCGCCATGCCCAGGGCACCCGCAGAGTGTGCCAGGTGCGCCCGCGCACCTCGGAAAACATGCCAGCCCCCACCGTCCTTGTCGAGAGCCCATGCACTATCGCGGCGGAGTGGCCAGCATGATATCTGGTGGGCCTCCTGCGCACAGAAGATAATTTTCCGGCACCCCCGCGGCCCCTGTAGAGAAACCATGGGAGGTGATCGCGGGGTGCCCGCGCAGTATCCAGGTTCAGCCGCGAAGCGCAATTTGTAATATTTGTCGACAGGAATGGTGGCCTTGCGCACAGCAGGATACACGCTGGCACCCCCGCCGCCCCTGCAAAAAAACATACAGCGTGCCCACGGGGCCCCCGAGCATGACCAAAGATTTTGGCACAGAGTGTAACTTGTATTGTTATTTGACCGGGACGGCGGGGGGGGGCCTTGTCCCAGGTTTGTCGCCGCTCGAGTGGGGGAGCGGATGAACATGATCAAAGAGCAATGACAGACTTTTCCCCGTAGGGGAAGCAGGAGGTTTGGAACAATTGATTCCCTCACACCCGCCTGCGCCCAGATTGTTGGCGGGATTTGAGAGGAGAAGTGTGTACAGTTTCCGGCCTGCGCAAACCACGATGGAAGAACGACCGAAATCGGGCAGCGCAGAGGGGGCGCACCACTTGGGAGGTTACCAGCTCCTCCTGGAAGTCCAGGCTCCAGGACCAGAGTTCGAGGAGGTGTTTGGACGTTGTGGGCCGTTCTGGAAGGCTCTGGAGTGCTCTGTGGGGGGCCCACCTCCTCGAGGGAATGGCGCTGCCTCGAAGAAGAGGCGAGCCCCCTCGGCACTGCCTGGAGAGAGCGAGGGTCGGTGAAGAGAAGCGCGCCCCCGAGGCGTGCGCCAGCCACGTCCTCGACTCGGATGGTGCGCTGCGACGCGCCGTGCCGCGGCCTCGCCGCCGCCGCCGCTGATTCGTCGCCGGCGCCAGCGCCAGCGTCGTAGTCGCCCTCGCCGCCTGCGCCGCCCATTCGGCGCTGCGCTGGCGCCGGTGTCGCTGTCGTCGCCGCAGCCGCCGACTCACAGCCAGGCACTGCGCGGGCCACGGTGGGCAGCGAACAGCCGGCATCTTCCCGGGTGCCGGCGGCCAAGAAGAAGAGGGGCGCCAGCCCACGTCGGAGGGGGGTCGTTGCCTTTGAGTTGTGGGTTCTGCGGAGGGCGACGAGGGAAGGCAGGAGAGGAGCAGACGAGGAAGAGCAAGAGAGGGCGGGCGGAGGGAAGGGGGCCGAGCGGTTGAGGGAGGGCGGGGAGGGGGCGAAGGATTGGGGGGGAGGTCCCTCCTCCTTCTCGTGCTCGTCCTCTACCCCCTCCTCCCCCCCGTCCTCCTCATCCTCCTCCTCTTCCTCCTCCTCCTCTTCCTCCTCCTCCTCCTTGTCCTCCTCTTCCTTGCCGTCGTCCCCCTCCTTCTCCTCCACAGCCCAAAAACTCAGGCAGTGGCGAAGCATCCTGGCTCGCCTATAGGCCCACCAAATATTGTTCTAAGAACCTTTTGTGGTCTGCACGAAATGTTATTAGAACATTTCTGGCTGAGACTGTCATGATGTAACACATCGGGTTCATGTTCTAAGAGCATCGTGTTTGTTTTAAAACGGTTTGGGTTTCTAAGAACATGTCGTGGTAGGCCTCTAGGACTGCCGGGACGGTCGGTCCCTGCTCAAAAAAATGAGTTGCATTCCATGGGTTGCACCCTATAAGCGACATCCCCTCCCATAATTCCCCTTTCCGAAAATAGAACAGACTCTACCAGCGCGGAACGCATGTGGCCGCAGCCACTGGGACCTTCGGTGGAGCTCCTATGGGACGACAGACCGTGTGACTGCTGTGCCGAAGTGGGCGCGGGACGCATCTGGACGCAGCCACTGGGGCCTTCGGTGGAGCTCCATATGGGGACACGAACCGTGTGAGGGGTGTGCCAAAATGGGCGCTGGACGCATGTGGACGCAGCCATTGGGGCCTTCTGTGGAGCTCCCTATGGGGCCACGAAGCGTGTGAGAGGTGTGCCGAAATGGGAGCGGGACGCATGCGGACGCAGCCATTGAGGCCTATGTTGGAGCTCCCTGTTGGGCCACGAAACGTGTGATGATGTGCCAAACTGGGGCGTGGGACCCATGCGGACGCAGCCACTGGGGCCTTCAGTGGAGCTCGTTATCTGGCCATGAACCGTGTGGGCCACGAACCGTGTGAGGGGTGTGCCGAAATGGGCGCGGGACGAATGTGGACACAGCCATTGGGGCCTTCTGTGGAGCTCCCTATGGGGTTACGAACCGTGTGAGGGGTGTGCCGGAATGGGCGCGGGACGCATGTGGACGCAGCCATTGGGGCTTTCGGTGGAGCTCCTTATGGGGCCACGAAACGTGTTAGGGGTGTGCCGAGATAGATGGGTGATGATGGTGGTGATGACGATGACGACGAAGACACGCGGAACGCAGAGGCAGGGATGAAAGGGGAAGGACAGAGGAGGGGGAGGAGGAGGAAGGAAGGAGTGAGGGAGACGCGGGGCGATGTTGTATCAAAACGAGGACCCGACACCACAGGATGGTTTGGGGGAAAATATGCGTCGCCACCATCACCAAATATCATCATCGTTGCTGCCGTTGTCGGCGTCACCATGGTACCCTGCTTACCCGAGCCACCGCCGCATTGAAGCGCACGCGCGCCAGCGCGGCCTTTGACACGCGCTGGGACGCTGCCGTCGGTAAGCGCCATCGCGGCCGCATCGGTTGTGCCAGCGCGACCGCGGAGATGCGCCAGCCATGGCTGAGCAGTTACCGCATTCGCCGCCGCACGGGGCTGCAAGCCAAGCTGCTGGTGGGAGGTCGGGGTGATTGCGCCAGCAGTGGAGTTTACAATTCAAGAGCTGGCACACATTAGTTTCATCCCATAAACTGCACCCCACCAGATTGTGTACACTAGAATGTGCACCCAATAGACTTCACTTCACGATGCATCACTTTGGACCCGTTCGCCAGCATCACGATGATGGAAATATTGCGATTTTATTATTGTGGACGATGGATTCCCGTGGTCACGCTTGGAAGCGCTCCGCGCATGCATACACTTTCGGATGTATACCTACATCTCCGGATGTACAGCTCGAAGCAAAACAAGCGGTTGGTTCTGGCGATAGGTGCGGATATCTTAGCATGCACGCTGGGATCAGTGCGCGAGAATTGGCGAACGTGCATGTGCATGTGCATGCGCGGGTGCGTGTGGGTGTGCGGATGCCTTCGCGCGTGCTCCCGTGATCGTGCACTTTAGCCCTATCCAGTTGTCAACGCGATCCCGTGTTAACCCATATGCCCACATATGTTCAAGGGGCGGCCAAGTTGTCAGGGTTGGGCTCTCTGGCCAAATTTGCAGTTGAGACTCGCACCGCCCTCCTCAGAGTGACGCTGCCACCCAGCCCAGAGAAGACACTCCCCTCATTCATCTTCAATCATCCAGCTCCTCTTCCCCTCCTGCCTTCTGTCAAGGCTTTCCTCCCCTGCCCTCCCACCCCTCTCCTCCTCCCCATTCTCCTACTCCCGTTTCCCCTCCCCCCTTCCTCCCCCCATACTCATCCCCCATCCTCCTCACTCCTCCCCCTCGCCCCGCACCCGCACTCGCAGGCGCGGCGCCCTCCTATCCTATCCTCCTCGCCCCGCACCCGTGCCCGCAGGCGCGGTGCCCCCTTTCCCGTTCTCGATCCTTCCGTCAATCCACACCCTGCTCCCGTTTCCCCCTCCCCCCCTCCCCTCCCATCCTCATTCCCCATCCTCCGCCCTTCTTCCTCCTCCCCCCGTCCTCCTATCCTTCCCCTCTTCACCCTCCTCCCTCGCAGCCCGCACACGCAGGCGCGGCGCTCCCGGTGCTGCTCGCGACGCCCGCGCCACTGACCTAGCCCGCCTCCAATCCGGCGGCGGGCCCCTCTCGTCATCCGTCCCCTCTCCTCATCGTCCTCTTCCTCCTTCATCCTCCTCCTCTTTGCCTCTGCCAGTCGCACCGCAGGCGCAGACTGGTCCAAGCAGGATCCACATCCTCCTCATCATCCTCCTGGTCCTCCTCCCGGCGGCGCGCCCACGGGGTGAGGCAGAGGGGGGGGGGGGGGCGTCGCCCCTCTTGGGGGGACTCCCACATGGGGTCTGTCCCTTCTCCTCCTGCGCAACTCGTTTCTGCCGCACCACCTGACTTTTCGGTGGGGCGAGCCGAGCGTGTCGCCCGAGGCTTCCTCACCGCTGATGGTCATGAAGCCAGAGAACTGCAACAACTGCACGGATAGCAGGAGTCCATGTGGGACTCTCGCCCTCGCGCCACGCACAATCTTAGTCAACGCCTGCCGAAGTTGCCAGGATGGCAGCGTACGTTTTCAGCGCACGCTTGCGACAGTTAGAATGATGTGATCGTTTCCAGATGGCGTTTTCGCCTTATCGCCGCGCACAGTCAGACTAAAAGCTTGATACCGTTACAAGGATGGAGGGCGGATTCTTATTCAATACAGCATGGGGTTATATGTGAGACTTCCTTTTTATCTAAAGACCATAAGTTTGAGCCTACATCAAGTATGCACGGATGGGTAGCGGTTCCTTTTGCAATATGTAGTATGGTCCCGCGTTGATGCTCATTCGAGGGAAGCGGCAGTTGCGTTGTTTAGTGAAAAGGAATGTATGTAGGGATTTCTGTGGGGGGATTTGTGATGGGAGGGTGGATTGCCGCATCGTTGGTGCGTTTTGGGTTTACTCTGGTCCTCGTCGTGCTCCTCATCCGCCTCCTCCTCCTCCTCATCCTCCTCATCCTCCTCTCGTCCTTGTCACCCTCGTCGTCCTGCTGAACCTATACCCTCGAGGAGGAAGAGGAGGAGCAGGAGGCGGAGGAGCAAGGCCGCCGACATCCCCCGCTGGCCCCATTCACCATCCCATTGCCCCGAGTCCCCACCATCCGTCCACGCCGTTTTGTCACAGGCCATGGAGTGCCTCGTTTTGCCGCTTCGTCCCCCCCCTCCTGCTCCTCCTTCTCCTCCTCCTCCTGCTCCTCCTCCTCCTGCTCCTTCTCCTGCTCCTCCCCTCCCTCCTCCTCGTTTTCCTCCTCCTCCTCCTCCTCCTCCTCCTCCTCCTCCTCCTCCTCCTCCTCCTACTCCTACTCCTACTCCTACATCCCCCACAAGCCAGCCGATCCCTCCCGGTCGTCTGGTGGCCGGCTGGGGCAGGGACGGCTCAGGCCGCTTATCTTCCTGATGGGCAGCCGCGCGCGGTGAGGTTGGGCTGGGGCCGCGAGATGCGCCAGCCCTCGCCGAGCCGACTGGCTCCATTCCCTGGGGAGGGGTCAGGAGGAGGAGTTGTCGATTACAGTCGACTGGACGTAAGAGTGACCTTTCGCCGGAGTGACCTTTGGTGCGGGCCCAATGGGGTGCCCCAATCGCCGAATGCGATGCGATAGCAGCGGCTTGCGCGCCCATGTTTGGCCCCCCCGCGTCCCCCGTTGAGTTGCGCACCAAAGGTCACTCTTGCCCAGGTTCACTCCTACGTGTAGCCGATACAGTCGGACCGAGGTACAAGATCGAGGTCGGTTCGGGGAAGGTCCCCTGATGCTCCTCTTGTTTCTTGGATGTTCTTGTGCATCCTTGGGGGGGTACCCTCGATTGCTCTTCTTCTTGGCCGGCGGAGGGTCCCATGTTCTTGAAGGGTGCTCTCCTGTCCTGGGTCCGACTGTACACATGAGGTGCGGGCCCACCAAGGCCCCCCGATCGCTGAACGCGGTACGATAGCAGCGACTTGCGCGCTTGAGTGTTGCCCCAGCCCCCCTGAAGCCGCGCAACAAAGGTCACCCGTTCCCAGGGCCACTCCTGAGCCAGGAGGGTTTGGAAGGCAGCATCACAAATCTGAATACACATGGCGGGGCCGGCCTAGGCGAGAGCTGGACAATTACATATGTGGCCGTCATGTCTTTCCAGCGCTCGGCCTCGTATGGCCGGGTACGCCAGCCCTCCACACAGTTGGCCAGCGTTCTGCACCCGCATGCTCCACAGCACGCGGCAGGCCACGACGACGGCAACGGCGGTGACAGCAACGCGGACGGCGGCGCGGCAGGCAAAAAGCAGCCGTAGTCGAGGGGAGGAGGAGCGGTAGCCCTGCGCAGCTTCACGGCCTCGCCACGCGGGGCGGCAACGGCGGCGGCGGTGGTGACTCCTCCCTGCCGTTCGTCCCGGCACCGAGGCACAAGGCGCGACGACGACGTGAGTGGAATGGAGTCAACCACACGCAGAGGTGGGTGTAGGGAGGGGGCAGGGCTTCTTCGAAGCACCCCAGCTCTTCAGAAGGCGCGAGCCTTACCTTTGAGAAGGGACCCTTCATGCCCCTACCCCTCCGAGTCCTGAGCCGCGGAGACGTCCACATTTTGCCCCTCCACGCCCTGAGGCTTCCGCAAGCGGCGGAAGGGGTGGTCATTTCTCGCACCGATGTAGCGATCGGCAAGGGGTCGGTCCCACACGCCCTCACGACGGCCAGCGAGCGCCGCGCGTCCTGAACTTCACGAATGATTCCGGGAGGTGCCACCGTGCCCGAAGCATGCAACCGTGAGCCAGGAGGTGGCAGGGCGGATCAGATCAGGAGGAGGAGAAGGGGGATAGGCATCGGGAGGAGGAGGAAAGGGGAGGGGGAGGACGAGCTCCGCCCCTCCTGATACTCCCCATCCTGCTCTTTTCCTCGTCCTCCTGCTCCTCCTCCTCTACACGATCCTCATATTCATCCTCATCCTCATCCTCTTATTCGAAACTCTTCTCTCCTTGCCGATCAGCAGCAGCATCATCATCACCACCATGGCCAGCTTCATCATCTTCTCATCGTCATCACCAACATCATCGTCATCGCTCGACTTTATATCATTGATCGGCAGCATCATAATCACCAGCATCGTCATCATCATCATCATCATCATCATCATCATCAGCATGATCATTACCAGCATCTGTATCATCATCACCATCGCCAGCATGAGCAGCAGCATCATGACTCACCTCGTCGATGTCGCCCGCGTGTTGTTCTCCTCACCGTTGGCCCCGTCGTTCTCCAGAAACCGTGGAATCCCGGAAGCACACATACCTCTACACAAGCGAACACACACACACACACCGTAGAGGTAGCACTCGTCCAATCAAAGACTGAGAGAACGACCAAATGTCAACGAGATGCACGTGCTAGTGACTATCCGTTGGGGCACGGCTAAAGTGACCGTTTGACCACCGTCTGCTGCTAGCGATTTCGCGCAAGGCAGTCGCAACGGAGACTGGAAAAAACAAAGCTTCGAAGGAATTGTATGCGAAGGACTGTCAGGACAATCGTGGCGCCAAGCCCTTACGGAGGCTGGGGCACAGTGTTAAGCCTGTTATTGGCTCTCCCTGGCCACGGAGATGCCCACAAAGAGAACGATGATTGCTACCGACACGAAAGATACGGCGTGAGCACGTATGCCGCAGAAGATCCAGGCAAATCCACGCCACTTCGGGAAGCCACGGATCATGTACAGGTGTGGCCCAAAATTCTTTGGATGCGGGCAAAAGAGAAACCGCACCTCATGTACCGTAGCATGTCCGTCAACACCAATACAACAACATTGACGTTGCTGTCCTGTGCGGCCCGCTGTATCTTCACTCGGCCAATGAGTTCCATCCGATGGTTTCCATCGCGTGTTTGTTAAAAGTGCCCGTGGGAAGGTTCCAACGAATGTTTTCTAATCGAACGAATGTCCCCGCCAAACGCGATACTAAAGCTATTGTGCACAAGGGGCATCGAGAACCCAGTCCATCCCAGGAGGATCGTAATATCGAGGCACCGTTAAACGATGCACCCGCCAGACTCTGTGGGAGGATCGTCCAAGTTAGAAAAGAGTGCGCTGACGTATGTGTATGGGGGCACACGCACGACGCATCTCCGACAGCGAGACTTGGGATTTCTGAGAAAATCGTCGGGGCAACGGCGTGTTGCAACATATTTGTGTATGTCATGATGCTGTTGGTCGACTTAGAGTTCCCGATGCACGCACACGCTTTCCAGAATCGCAATGCTAAGAGGCCCTCCTGTCGCGCAGCCAGATATATGCTGCCAGATTCGGTCGCCGACCCGGTACAGCGCCAACTTCAGATAGAGCGTGCCTGGCAGCATGCTTCGCAGCGGGCAGGGAGATAACGTGCCAGTCGCGAAACTTCTCATCCGGGTTGCCTCCGCACTCTACGACGTGCAGCTTGCATATGGCGGCGGAAATTGAACTTATCGCAATGCGTTTTTGATTTTGCACGAACGCGTAGGACACAGCCTCCTCAATGGCAGCGCTGTCGAGCGCCACGAACGCTTGCAGGGCATCGGCAACGACGAGCGTAAACGCAGATACGCGGGCCTCCCAAATCTCACAAATGCGACGCCCTCGCGGCCGAGGGCGCGGCTTTCGAAGCTGCACGAACGCTTCTGCCATTTCGCTTATAGCCAGATCCAAAGTGCGGAATGCCCATCTACCGTCGAAGGCACACCGGGAAAGAGATTATATTGCTTTCCCAAAAACTCCACGCGCTCTTCGACGCAAGCGCAACGAGAAACAAATATTCCGCACGCAGGAATGGCCGAGCGCGCGGCGAACGCGAATCGGATCACGCAGGCAGGAAACGAGAGAAATCGGGCAGTTAAGTCCAAGACTTTCTTTTCACTGTCGGGTGCACGCACGCCAAAACGCGGCGCCGCGCGAGAGAACTCTCGGGCCGAAAGCATTCCGGAAGAACGTTGCCCCTACCGCCCCGAGGAGTCTGAACCGCCTCGTCCAAAGTTAACCCAGTGAAGTTCCACGTCAGAGGCGCCTTGGATAGCTGAGCAAACCACCCAGCACGCATGCGCGCTGGTGGACAGAGCCAGGTCGCACTGGGATATCTGTCCCTACACGCCATCAAGATGTTATATTGAGCTCAACGCACATAGGTTTGAATATGATGTGTCACTCGTTGAAGCAGATGGAGTTTCAACGAGACTGGGCAGCGCAAGACACAACACCTGGACCTACATGAACCCCGCGCGAGGCGCAGTTATTCGCGGATCTCGACAGCGCACGAGTCGCCCTACTCGGCCGCGTGTTGCGCGGGACCACAGTCGGCCCGATTGTAGCGTCATGCGAGTTCTCTGCGATTAAACTGTCGAACTCGGACACGGCGGAAATTCGGGGCCACGATTTTGCATTCGCGAGCGAGCGCTCGAGGGTCGGAGAAGCCAACGCCACTACGCGGGCACACTTCCGGATCAAGGTGGCCAAATGAGGACAAATTGAACAAACTAGCTGCGATGCCACTCGCGCACAACACCTGCAGTAGGACGCCAACCAGGCTTTCGGCACGGGCAGGCCACGGTCGCCAACCGCTCGGACATCTGCCGCGCAACCTCGCCACGGTCGATCGAGCTCGGAAGGGGAACCGCGCGCCCCACGACGCGCGCGCGCGATCGCGACCGCGCTTCGACAGTCTGCGCGCAAGCAACCAATCAATATCATCAGGACGAGCAGCAGGGGCAGATTTCACGAAAGAAGCAGCGCAATGCGGGTCATAGATGTCGACCAGGCCGCACGCCGGAGCAATCTCATCCAGCAGTTTGCAATGCATGAACTTGCAAGGTTTTCGAGGCCATTGGCGGGCAATCAGAATTTGCCCTCGGGCCCCTGCCTTCCGAGTCGCAGCATCGAACATCAATGTCCTGAAGTCGCAATCTTCTGCGTGCGCGCCTGCCGAGATGCGCCGCCTGCCCCGGCGCTCGCGCCCCGCAGCCCGCCGTCGGCGCCCGGCGCGAAGAGGGCGGCATCGACTTGGCCTCGACGGCAAGAGCACCGCCACCAGGCACAGGCCGGCATAGCAGGACATTCAGCGCAGCCCCGCTGCCGCCCCGCAGTTGCCGCCTCGCAGAGCCGCGCCGCGTGCACTGCCATGACCTCGCTCGGTTGCCGGGGCCCGCGGCGGACGGAACTGCTCGACGCCGCGCTCTCTGAATCGACAGGCGCCGTCGGCGCTGCCGCGCGACTTCGCCGCGCATCTGTCCCGCGCGCGCATGCAGACGTTAATCAGATTTGGCACAAGTAGTGTCGATCCCAAATCGCGGTGCGAATTTGCAGACTGACGAGGTCGCGGAGGTCGACTGCCTGCAAGACAGATGCTGGACCGACTCGGCTCAAAGTTCGCAAGTGGCCCGCATCGCGCCAACGCGAGGCGCGCACGACCACGCAGCGTTCGCGAGC